TTTACGACACCGGATAACAGACACACTGTATATTTTTCCTCCTTAATTCCATTTATTTTCCATTTTGCGAAAGAGGAAATTCATCAGTTGCTCGAAACTGCCGTTAGCCTCACCTTCAAAATTCAACTTTATCCTAAATGAGTCCAGAAACATTAACATTTAAAAAAAATGAGTATCCTCAGAGCGACTGAGTGAAGCGTGAAAGGCTGGGTTTACAACATGGTTGCTGTCACAGTACGTTTCAATTCAGTTTTAATTTTCCAGCACCAACTCACAATAAATCAACTCAAAGCTCTTTATATTGGCAAGTGTCAGAAACGTCCAACAAGACGAGATTGCCCGTAAGCAAGCATTTGTGACAGTGGGAAGGAAGAACTCCCTTTTAACAGGAAGAAAACTCCAGCTGAGCCAGGCTAACGCAGGGGCAGCCATCTGCCATGAATTGGGGAGGCAGAAAAAAAAATTAAGAAAAAGAGAAGACAAAAGTTAATGCCATGCAGCAGAGTGCATCATGGGAAGTCCCACACAAGCCTGAGCCTACACCAGCTCAACTAACAACTGATTCAGGTTCACCTGATGCAGCCATAACCATGCTTTACCAAATCATTATCAAAAGTAAGAGTTTGAAGCCTATTCTTAAAACAGAGCCCGTCTCCTGAACCCAAACTGAGAACTGGTTCCATAGTGGAGGGGCCTGAAAGCTGAAGGCTCTGCGTGAGATTGAAGGAATACAACACTCCAGTCTGGAAGTACTAAATAAATGAAATGTGTCTGTGAAGGTTCTCAGTCATCCAGGTCATCGTAGTCAAAGGAGCTTGCAAAGAAAAGCGTCTGGACTTCTTTAAGTTGCTTGAAGACGTTTCACCTCTCATCCACGAAGCTTCTTCAGTTCTAAGGTCAAATGGTGGGGAGTCCCAGATTTAAACCTAGTGGGAGTGTCCCCCCACAGAGGGACAAAAGGACCCCCTGACTCACATCCTGGGCCATCTGACCTCAGGAATTTGCATGATAAGGTGGGGCCAGGTTTCACAATGAGCTCACCTAAAACCCTGGCTGATTGGGACCCACACCCAATTTCACACCTTGGCTCATCAGGGGATCCTTTTGTCCCTCTGTGGGGGGATACTCCCACTAGGTTTAAATCTGGGACTCTGCACCATTTGACCTTAGAACTGAAGAAGCTTCTCGGATGAGAGGTGAAACGTCTTCAAGCAACTTAAAGAAGTCCAGATGCTTTTCTTTGCAAGCTCCTTTGACAATAAATGAACTAATTTTTCAGCGTCAGTCTGAGACAGGATGTTTCTATTTTTAACAAATATTGTGCAGATTAAAGAAAACAGTCCTACATATTTGTTTAATATGTGCAGCGACGGATATATCCTGTTATAAAATGGCTCTAAGATTTCTCAGAGTGTTACTGGATAGCCTGACCCTTTTGTTAAATAAAGGGCCTAAAATGCAAGTTATTGGTTTACCATTAGACAAAGTTTGATAACTTCAGAAAACCTTGGGCTATCAGAATTACTGCATTTAAGCTACTTTAACTTTACTTTTAGATGGATTTTTTTTTAAATCTGTATATATATATATATAGGCATTTTTAAGCATAAAGGGACCAAACTACAGAGGAATAAAGCTGATCAGCCACAGCATGAAATTATGGGAAAGTGTAGTGGAAGCTCGATTAAGAATGGAGGTGATGATTTGCGAGTGGCAGTAGGGTCTCGTGCCAGGAAAGAGCACTTTGAAAGTCAGACGTAGACCCATTGAGACTTTGTGGATTTAGTCAAAGCATGTGGCGAGGGAGGAGGTGAGTTACTGCATGAGGAACTAAGTAGCAGCAAATGGCACACATGAGGGCAATGAGGTGGGATAGGTGGTTTCAAGGTAGAGGTGAGACTGCATCAAGGGTCATCTGTGTGACCTGTCCTTTATAGATATGAATCAGATCAGTAAAAGTATTTTAAAGTGTATGAATAAATGAATCAAGTCCAGAACCGTATTACTTAAAACTGAGTAACTTTGAGGTGGTGTTGCAGCATTTTAATAAACCTATTTTAAACTGCATTTTACATCCAATCTTTTTTTGTAGTTTCTGTGTATTCCTTGTGGTCTAACAACAAAGCTGTGGAAGAAATCAAGATACATGTTGTGTATTATTTGTGCAAAAATGATGCAATCATGAAAAAAGCCCATCAGCTACGCAGTCTGAAAACCTTTCGACTGGTACTTTGGGTCAAAGCGTGACTTTTGTGGCTTGTGAAAATAAGGAGCAGGCTGATGGGAGATCTCATCTAGAGAAGAGGCGTTCAAATCAGTAAGACTGAGAGTAAGTGCATGCAGGTGAAAGAAAAAGGAGCACAGCAGAGAACGAGTTGGTGAAGATGAATTTGAATATTTGTGGTCAACTGTTCAAAGCAGCAGCAGGGTGGAGGAGATGGATGAGAATATAAGGAGAAGGGTTAGAAGATGTCATGTGGCTTAGAGACAGTCACTCAGCTGGATGCAGCTGAGTTAAAGATGCTACGATTGTGATTGAGTGGGACTGTTAGGGAAGAGTGCAGAAAGGTGGGTTATTTAAGATCTCCATGTTTTCAATCATTATCCAACACCAGCCTCTTATGTTGCTCACAAAAATACACAAATTAATAAATAATAAGCACATAAAAATAAAGCTACTATTTGTGGTAGAGTGTAGAGGATGAATTCAGAAGTATGACAGCCTGAGGAGATAAACTGCTCTGACGCCTGGAAGTTCGGCAGCTGATACTCCTGTATCACTCGCCAGATGGCAGCCTGGCTTACAGGCTGTGCCTGGTGTTGTCTTTTCATATCCTTTGAGCTCTGCACAAATTAGAGGATGCTGCTAAAGATGGAGCTGGCAGGCAGGGGGGAAACTGGAAGGCCACAGATGAGGTTGATGGAGGTGGTGAGAGAGGACAGATACAAATAATCGGTGGTATTTTCAGGGTGTTAGGGTTACCTTTTTATTCACTTCTGCCATGGCCACCTGCAGCACCATAAGCATGCCATCAGCTCCATGAATGGTGGTCCTCTCAGACTGTAAGACCCGGTGACGCTCCCTCCTGAAGGTTTTCACCATCAGCTTGAGTTGGTCTCCTATACCCTCCATTATTCCCTTAAACAAAAGCAACAAAAAATTCTATCGCACATTTAAATGCAACAAAGTTGACCAATGTGCTTCACAATTAAATAAGAACAAGAGAAAACATTAATAAATTTAAAAAAAAAAAAAAAAAAAAAAATATTATATATATATATATATATATATATATATATATATATATTATTATATTATATATATAATCGAGAGATAAATAGATGGGCAATGAATTGTATTAACATAAAAACAAAACATAAAACAAGCCTGATGTTAAACTGAACTTGATTTAAAAACCAACATAAAAGATGTGTTTTAAGTGTGATTTGAAGGACTGTGTAGATTCTGAAGTACGAATATCATATGGCAAGTGATGTGAAGTGATGTGCACCTACATTCTAACACCTGTTAAAAGACATGAAGCAGCATTTTGGACTAAAATGCTGCTGCGATGGAGAGATGAGTGTTGACGACCCAAATAGAGAAAACTGCGGTAGTCCAGTTTAGAGGTGATGAAGGCATGAATAAGTTTTTCTAGGTCTTTAGGAGGAAGATGATGCTTCGCAATTTCACGTAACTGATTAAAAACAGATTTCACAACTGTGGACACTTGCTTCTCTAATTTAAAAGAGCCAACTAAAAACATGCCGAGATTTCTTACAGTGTGGAAATGATGACAAGCAAGAGGACCAAGGGTATCAGTTATCCAAAAGGGCCATGACTTCCAAAAACAATAACTTCAGTCCTATTTCCATTTAGGGCGAGAAAATTGTGTTTTAACCACTCTTTAACATCATGTAGGCAGTTAAGCAGAAGGTGAAGGGGGACAGAGACATACAGTTTCAAGGGGAAGTAAATTTGGATGTCATCAGTATAACAGTGAAAGGGAATGTGCATTTCCTGAAAATGGATCCCAAAGGTATCATGTATAAAAAAAGCAGAGAGTTGGATCCAAAACAGACACAAAACAGACCCCGGTGGCACACCACAACAAATAGGGGGAGTATTTCCCAATAGCAACAGAAAAAGACCTCTCTTTAAAGATAAAACTGTGCCTTTAAGACCAACGACATGATCAAGTCTGATAAAAATAATGTTACGAATAACTGTGTCAAAGGCGGCAGTCAAATCTAAAAGAACTAAAGCAACAGAACAACCTTAGTCGACAGAGCTTCCTTGAAAAGGCGAGAAGGAAGAATATCCTGAGGGGAATTCGAAGGTCTTAAGTTACTGATTGCTTCCTTTAAGAAAGGGAAAAAGTCACGGGCAAAAAAACCCAAAACCCTCAAAACCAATTTATACATCTAGTTCTTTAAATACAGAAAGACATACCTGAAATTAATTTAAAGACTTAATTTTCATACAGGGTCTCAGTGGCATGTAACACCTTCGATAACTTGTAAGTATTTCACAGCAAAAATGTGTCCACATTTTACATCTACAACTACATACATACATACATATAACACAGCGTTTATTCACTTTACATTAAAAAGACTGATTAAACAACGCAAACCTCTTAAATTGCTGCAGTCTTCCAAGAGCACACAGCCACGACACAAAGCAGCTGTTTTGAAATTTTAAATTGCCGATGACGTTGTTCCTTTTTGTCCAATCACCTCTCAGCAAATAGCGGGGGTGAGATTTTTCTTTTCGTAGAGATATTCAATTCTAAAACTCGACAGCTAGCTATAAGTTCGTGTCATTGGACGTGTTTCAAATAAAATCTTTCAGTAACGCTTATGGATTTTCTAAAGTGGTTTAGACTCCCCCCCCCCAAAAATTTCTGTCGCCATAACTAATACCGAACCACCCTCTGACATTTCTACTCGATGGTACGTTCCGTGTCGTAATCGGAAGAAGATTGAAAACATCTCAAACGCGGGCAGCGTTTCGTTCAAGGGATTCATTGAAAATAAGGTAGTAAAGTCTATCAGTTACTGCTGTGTTCTGAGTTTGGATAGACCCTCACCAGTAAGGGTTAGCTACGACATTGCCAGGCTGCGGTTTGACTGGTAAAAACGACAAGCAGTGCTTCCGCATTTAAACCAGCAGCACGTTTTGCTTCTAGACTGGTGACATGCTACCATTATTATTATTCTTCCACAAAAGCCACACTAGTTTAGCTGAGATATCATATTCACCTAGTTTTCCTTTACAGAAATAACATGAAAATAAACGACCTTGTTGCAACTTAGCGAGAAAAAACTTAACTCATAAGCAGTAACACAATTTTAAGCACTGTCTGCATTTGTACTAAGTTTAAAAAGGGGGGGCTCTGTGTGTATACTAACTGCGCCGAATCTAATGTTGATCAATGTAGTTTGGTAAAACATAGTCCAGCTGTGTCCTACTTGCTGTGCATGAGTCTGTAACTACTGGGATATGAAAAACAAGAAAGTCTTTGATTGACGTTTGGTTTTTAAGATCCTTAGCAACTGTAACCCTGCAGACTTTTTTTTCCTTTTTTTTTAATTGAACATAAGCAAAAATACTGATTTAGTTTAGTTAAGTTTAACTTTATTTTTTATCTGCAAGATACAAAAGAGGGTTTATAAATCCCCAACTAGTGTAGTTAACAAAAACTAAGATAAAAGTAGGCCTGAAAACAATTTTAGTTGACTGAAATAAAATCCAGTCTAGACTTTTTAAAAATATACATTCAATAAGGTCCTGGAAATTTTCTTGATATAATGGCATCAGTTGCAGCAGATTTGTGTGTTGTACCTCCATGATGTACAGCTACAACAAGTGGTTGTAGCTCAGGTGGTAGAGTATGTAGGTATGAATGTGTGTGAATGTTAGAAAGATAGATGTAGAAACAAGTGCTTGTTTGAATGGGTGAATGATGCATGTTGTATAAAGAGCTTTGACTGCTCTAGTAGAGTAGAAAAATGCTATATAATAACAACTCCATTTACCACATCTAAGGTGCTCAAACAGTGGGTCTGTTTTGCATTACTTAACAGAACTGACTTATTTTAAGACATTACAATTAACACAACATTTATTTTGTGCCTGAGTATTTTGTGCCTTTTCATTAGAAGCCCATTGATTTACCTTCAAGCGTTAAGACAAACCTAATGTTATTTATCCTAAAAGTTGGGAACCTGTTTAGTTAATCAGTTAAAAATCAAGTTAAACACAACCTTTAACAAAATAGCTTAATATCATCATATATGTAGTGTTGAGACTTTTAATTATCACATTTATCATGACTACTGGTACATTTACCAATAATAATCTGATCAATGAACTGATGTTCTTGTTTAAAAGTGGTTTTAAACAACAGGTATTGATGATCATCCTAATCATTTCCTATCGGTTATCCTTCTGATTCTTTCAGTGGAAGTACGCGCGACATGCAGGAGGACTCAAGCCACAGTCCCAGCTACACCGTGCCATGTGACGACTTTGTTCATGTGGTGGAGTTCAGTCCCTTCAGCTCTGGTACCCCGGCATCTCTCCTGGCCTATGGTGGAAACCAGTACATGGTGGTGGGCACCTGCCTCTTCCAGGTTAGAGATACAGTCTCACGTGTTTTGGTTCACTGAGTGCACATCTGTTTCCTTCTCTGAATGCAACTTTGCTCCTACAGGAGGAGGATGTGGAGGTCGAGGGAGTTGAATTCAATGTTCTTCGAGCTTTTCACCATGAACTGCGTGTCGACGCTCTAGCCTGGAGCCCTGAGTCTCGGCTGGACAGGATGCCCACTATCAGGTACTAGGCCACTTGCATTCCACGTGCTTTGGCCTTCTTCTGTTTTTTTTTTGTTTTGTTTTTTTGTTTTTTTAATATCCAAATCAAGTCTTTTTATTAACATCGTTCACTTTGTAGCTTGGTGGCTTGTTTAAAACTCTTCATGTAAGCGCTTTCTGAAACATGAATGAAGACACCCATGTTCAGCTTCGGGAGCTGAAGACATTCAAAACATGGGTGGTCACGTTTGAGCTTGATTTGAGCTGATGTTTCTGGTTTTCGCTGGGTTAAATCAATTGCCCCCTGCTAGGGCTGGGCGATATGGCCTAAAATTTATATCGCGATATAATTTCAAGCATGTGCGGTAACGATATATATCACGATATATTCTTTTCTTCTGTACAACGTATTTTCCACACTATAAGGCACACTTAAAATCCTTTAATTTTCTCAAAAATCGAGAGCGTGCCTTATGTATGAATTCTGGTTGTGCTTACTGACCTCGAACCGATTTCTGTGTGCAGAAATCTGTTAAAAAATGTTTAGTACAACTTTGGTAAGCCGCACTGCTTGATGGATTGTCAGAGCATTACAGCTGCCGTAGTGAGGAGCTTCGCGGAGTAATCTGAGTCCAAAACTCCGTCCACTTCAGGTCCCAAAGTCAAACGAACACTAACGGTGTGTTCACACCGAACGCGATAGACGCGAACGAAAACGCCCCAAACGCCCCTAATTTGACGCGTGCACATTCGCACCTCGACGCATGTCCAAGAAAAATCCATCGCGCCTCAAAATTGCATACTTTGACGCGCGTGAACCCGAAATGTGGGAGGAAGTTGTGCCAGACCGGTATCTTTGTTAGATGGCAGCTGTTGAGCTAGCGCTTGAAGAGAGAGTCTCCCTTCTCTATTTACTGTGGAGAGCAGAGCAGCGGCGTTAAGGACGTCCTCGCCGTACCTGGGTCCATCAGGTCCTCCAGACGCATGAGCAGTTTGGTGAGTTTCACCACTTGCTCCAGGAGCTGCGCCTGGATGACAGCGTTGACAGCGATATCGCCGTCTTTCCCTCGCCCAGTTTGAGGACCTGCTGCCCCGCGCTGGTCCAAGCATCGCCCGCCTAGACACCAACTACAGGCGCTCAATCCCACCTGCAGAGCACCTGTCCGTCTGCCTGAGGTTAGTAAAAGTGTTTAATACGGTAGTCTTTTATTGATACCTGTGCTAATATGCTAAACTATCGTTTATAGACTGCTAACATGGATGTGCTATGCTATCAATGAATGCCGTTGGTGTTTACTGATAGCAAACTGTGGTATGGAGACGACTGTTTATAATATTTTTAGTGATACTTAGAAGGTCTTATCAAGTCCTGATTTAATTCAATTTATGCTGTTATCAGTGTTTGCATTGATAGCATGGCTGTGGTGTCATACGTATGCTCTCGGTGTTTGCTGATATCAAACTGTAGCATTAGGACCACTGTGGGTTAATCTTTGTAGTGATACTCACTCCTTTTTATTTAGACCTGGTTTAGTTCTGGTATAGTTGAATATTTGTATATAATCCCTGCAGCTGTCAGACTCTATAACAGGGGTCACCAGCCTTTATTAAAACTGAGAGTTAGATAAAACTGAACAGTTTGGTTCATCTTTAGTTGCATGGTTCCATCTTGATAAGCTATGTCTTATCACAGATTAATTTTTCAAAAATATTAATGATATAAGAAAGGAAAGGGCTACATGTCAACATAAAACTCTTTATTTCTATTAATGTCTTACTTCATTCCTACCTGATTGACATATTTAGGAATTATGAGTGATTGGCTCACTGTAGTTGTGAAAGTTGCTACCAATCAAATTATGATATGTTAAAGTTAAAACAAAACACAACTGTTTTAGATATTATCTAATATACATTTTGTAATTATCCTTATAATTACAAAATGTTTTATGTAAGATTCAAGTTTTGTGATTTAAATCTGACATCACAAAAGTATTTTGGAATTTGAATAATGTATTTTGTAACTGCAGTACACATAATACTAATTTTGAACAATTTTGTCCAGGTTGCTTGTCACCGGGGACTCCTTCAGGACCAAGCGTTTAGTTACAGAGTCGGTGTCAGATCACCCCCCAGGTAGCGACGGCCATCTGGGACTGTCTAGTGGACGACTTCATGGCTGTGCCTTCACCTGGAGCCTGGCGGTCCATCACAGAGGGATTTCCAGGAGCGCTGAAACTTCCCTCTGTGCTGTGCAGCTCTGGGCCCTGTGCTTCGTACGTCGCTCACTACATCCAAGATCAAATGAAACATCCAAGACCAAACCATCGCGCTAACCGTGAGCGCGC